ATACAATGATTCAAAAAGGTATAAATGATTTTATTCTAGATAATTAAAATTTTAATTGTATTTTCCAATTTGTAAAATATATTTTGTAATCGAAAGATGTAATGTGTGTGTATGTAATGTAAAGTGTGTACCAGTCAAAGAATTTCCATTTTTAAATTATTGCTATGATTTATATAAATATAATAATATATAATATGGATAAATACTGAATAGATATATTGTGGACGATCGGTTAAATACATCAAACATAAGTTTTAGAAATAAAATCTATATTAATAGAATATTTAAAAATGATTACATATTTGAAATTTTCTATTCATTTTGTTTTTGTTTGTCTATATAAAGTATTTGATTGAATAATTAGTAACTACAACTATGAATGATTTTAATAAAAATAAAATAATAATTTATTAAAAGTTTAGTTATGAAAATATAAAGTTATTTTATCTGTAATAGGTTGGGAGTTACATACCAAGTTGATATAGTTACAAAGCATTTGAAGCTAAAAAAAACCTAATTCACTTGATGCATTATACTTATGATTTGCAATGTGCAAAGTATTTATTACATTTAAGAAAGAAAAATTTTTTCAAAGTAGATGAATATTATACATAATATTTTATTTTTTTATTATCCATTTGACTACATTATAACTTTTAAAAACTATTTATAAATTCCTTTAAAAATAATAAAATATTTCACTCTCATTCCTCTAAAAATATGTTTTTAATTTTTCATTACAAATAGTGAATTACTATTTATTTTTTCTTAATGATTAAAAACCTTCATTTATCTTTGCTTATGTTCATTATTTTTAAACTGTAATACAATAACAAATTCTTTTAATTAAATTAGGACACCCACAATTAATATATTCATATTAAATTAGCTTTAAATTAACTATGTGCAAGATTTATATATAGTTTTTATAAGTATGATAAGCATTCTATTTTAAGTTCCATAGTTTAATTAAGTCCATGGATATAATTAATTATGGCTAACTTCCATACAATCTGCATCACCCCCTTACTCATTATTCACAGTTGTCTACTATAGATGATAATGATATTTATTGTTTATTTAAATAATACTGGTCTTGCTGCTGTTGGATACATTCATTGTCATCCAAAGGTTATTTTTGTATTCACTGATTTATTACAGCAATATCGATAATGAGGGAACACTTTCAAGAAAAACAGATGAAATGATAATTAGTATTTAGATAATGTAAAAATGAATTATAAAATGTATAAAATTAGAAATTTATAAATAGTAGAAATAATAAAATTTTTTAAATATTAACAAAGATAAAGAATATAACATCAATTTTATGAGATGTTTATACACAAAAGTATTTATAGCACTTCGTATATCCTCATTTAGAGTGCATATTCTAACTTTGTTAACATACTCATAACAAGATTTCTTAACAAGAAGATTTAATTATGTATAATTTTCTTTCAATAATTGAGAAAACTCATTTATTTAATTATATTTGTTATACTATAAACTATTAGTTTTTATTGCAATTTTTTAAAAATAACAAATGAAAATATTTTTTTGTAGTCGAATACATTTTTAACATATATTATTATTCATTTTAATAAATTTCAATTTATGTTCAAGTATATAATGTGTCAAGCTAATGATCATCTATTTGTGATTCTGCTTTAAAGATTTAAATAAAAAATAATTTATTTTTACTCTATGGATCTTCACAATTATTAAATTATGTAAAAATATTTAATTTCATACAATACATTATATGTATTGAATTAGATAACAATAAACTAAAAATAAAATGTCCTTCAACTGTGTTTATTAATTATTAACTAATTTATCTTAATTGTATAAATATTTATTATATGTAAATAAAACATGTTCTCAATGTGCTTCTACCCTTTGCTGAAATGTTAATTATTTTATTGACATTTTTTGTAAGGAACAAAAAATTTTAAATGAAGATAACAAATGTTTACTGAAAATAGAATTTAGTGATTCTTTTAGATACAAATTTAGAATATATGGAATTTAGATACAAATATAGAATATAAAAAAGATCTGATTATTTAAAGATACAATTTAAGATCAAGAAACAGTTTTGAAATGAATTATTTTCTTAAGCAAAATTACATGTATTGCAATGTTTACAAATTTATTACATAATGTATTACACGAGAGTTTTTTATGGCCTATGTTCGTTTAAATTAATAAAGAAATGGAACAATTCATTTAACATTTCTTTTGTATGCATCCTAATAACCTATATAAAATAATTTTTAATGTTTATATTTGCTTTAAAATGTGTAAATATATACATTTATATCTGATTTACATGTCCTTAAGCTTTATGAAATAATAATTCTTTATTTTTAATTTTTTAGTAATAGACAGATTTAAGTTACATATTTCACTTTTGTTGAATAAATTTGAAAAAACGATAAATTCATTTGAATAAGTAGAACTTTGACCATAAAACAATTATTGCGCTATCGAGTTCAACAGCTATATATGAAATCGTACTAGTAATTTAATTAACATGCTACATGTTTAATATGTTATACATTACAATATAGCTCGTTATAGCGTAACATGTTATGAATTATTGACACATGCGCGCTGAAGGAATCAACGCTAGCGATGCTAGCGACCAATATTTCCCGAGTAACCTTGAAGTATAAAAGCGTTAGTATCGGCGTGGTCTTTAAATACGATGTATGGTCGATTTTATTTTTTTCTCAACGACACGATACTCGTGAGTGACAGACGTGATACCATTCAGGTGAATGTTAGCTCGTCTGTATTCACCACACATTTATTCTGAAATTCAAATCTACTTTTGACTTTTTTGGCATTGATACGCAGGGCTTCCTGTATCATTTGGATTCAAGTTCTATATCGCTCTTTAACATTACCGTTTATAGCTTCAGTCTTCAATACACCGTCACCCCTTCTGTATTTATATCCACGTATGCCTATATATTTATATTTAGTTTGTGTTTACATTTTTGAGCCGCTTTTCTAGTATGCAATATTTTTTAATGTAATATTATAGTTATAGTAAAGCTTTCCTAAAGCTTTCTTAAAAATTTAAATTTCTTCTTAAAAGCTGACAATTTTTTTTAAACAAAACACAATAATACTTTTTTTATTTATTATATTAACTATTCTTTTTTGTAAATTGAAAATTGATGCATTAAATGCAGCATAAAATACATTCTATACTGTTGTAAAATGAGTAGTATTTTAATTGATATTATAATGAATATTTTTATAATATAAGCGATTATTCTCATAGCATGAAATTTCAATAATATTTCAATAATATTTCATTATAACAAAAAGTATTTTTGTTGTATCTCAATCATTAAAATCATTTGTTATACGTTTTAATTTAAAATTTGAATATAATAAATGAATAGACATCGTATGATAAATTTGAATTATGTATCACTGTTAGATGCTGAAATACTTATTACAGTTACAATTTAAATTAAGTATGTAAAACTTTTTAGACAAATCATTTGAAGCTTCTAATGGATTAATGAGTTATTTTAGCTGTATATTATTTTTATCTGCGTTCTTTTTCTTTAACTTTTTTAAACGTTTTTAATTTTAACGTTTTCTTTTAACCCGTTTACAAACATATCATCAATTTTAGGTTTTTAGTAATTATCCGTTTGTCGACTATCTCTGTCTTTTATTGCTCATTATTGTTTTTACATTCTTTTTATGATTTAAATTGCTTAAATATTTAATTTATTTAAAAAATTCATTTCTGTAATGTATTAATTAAGAAAATAATGGATCAACATTTATAATTGTTTAAAAATTGATTATAAATTTATAAAAAAAAATTTGCATTTTTTAGATTAACAAATAAATTAATATTCTAATTTATGAATCATTGAAATATAAAATGTTCATTTTCATTCAAATTGCAACAACTAAGATTTTACACGAAATTTTATATAAAAAATGGTAGTATTCTATTTTTCATACGTTTCAAAATGAAGTTGTTATTCAAATAAATAAATAAATTGTTATTCAAATATATCTTTAATGAAAGTAGTTATTTAAATACAGAATAAGAAAACTAAATTATTTTTTTTAATTAATAAAACATTCACATATTATAATGGTTAGTCATAATTTTGGCAGATGTTAAATAATTTCATTAGTGATATAATTTAGCTTATTACCTTTTTAGAATGTTTCAACTTATAATCTCTAAACGACGGTGAATTAATTGAAGTACGTAAAAAGTGGGCTATGGTGCACATTGAATTTCTATATCCTTGTAAAAGTAAATTGTATGACGTTAAATTATTATTTTATCAATATAAACTGTATATTATTAAAATACGGAATAGATTCACGGGAAGCAACAAAGTACAATATTTCACATAAATAGCAAATATATGATTTTGAATAAATTTTATATCTTTATGTAAATTATGTATTATTGTATTATTTGCAAAATGTTTTGCATGGCTAAAAGTTTTTTTTAAAATATAAAATTTCATAAAAGAATTACACTTTTTACCATACAAAACAAAATTGTGTAGCTTTGTACAATTTTCAACTTTTTTTTTAAATAACAATAAAACAGAATCTAATAAGTTATAAAAAATATATATTATAAATATAATATAAAAATTATGAATTTTATAATATTAGCAATTAAATTTTCAGAATCATGTATTGCTGAGTATTATTTATTAAAAAGTTAATTTTTCTAATCTAGAATAAAGAAATATATTATATATTATATATTTATATTATTTCTATTATATTTAAAATACAGTAATCAAGAAATAAATATATTATTAATATAAAAAATGAAAATTTTTTAGGTTTTTACAAAATCGTCTATGTTATCTACATAATTAGTATGATGTATATTCTTTTTAATTAATGAAAGACAATTTCCTCTTAATTTTCTCTGATAGTAAACATAATAGAAAATTAGAATAATACCTTTACATATAAATTGATATCCAAAAATCCAAGTATGATTGGTGGCATTAATTGTGTTGTTATAGGAAAATAAATAAAAAGGTGTAGATGTCAGTTGAAGTCTACCGACAACAGCAGAAAGTGAAGTAGAAGTTTGATTCTGTTTGTGAATGTTTAAAATACTAACATAAAACTATAAAGTTCATGTATGTTTGAAATGCTAACATAAAACAATAAAGTGGCATGCAAAAGTGAGATAAAATAAAAGAAGAAAAGTGTAAGAAACTGCGAGTGCCTGAAAGAACGGAACAATGTACAAACTTTTAAGACGCGGCTCTGGGCGTATACTTGTCCTGGGTGCCGTAATTCTGTTAATATTACTCTGTATATATTACGTAAGTCAGACGCAACGTTCAAATACGACGAGATCGAGTGCCGCTGTTTCTGACTTCATTGCAGAAAGTGGAATGATTCAACGCGTACTTTCGTCTGCTATGCCGGATTATAGCGGGCCACCAGATTCCCAATTATCTCATGGCACATGTCCGCTTATTTTGACCAGAAAAACCGATATCGACGCTCAGGTTGAATTCAAAAAGTTCGATTTTCAGGTAAGGATATACAAACTTTAATTCTTTTCATTAAACCGATAATACATATTTTTATGAATAAGTAGATATATGTTTTCAATACACTGTTCTCTCAACATTTAATTACATGATTAAACATTTAATTATAAAAAGCAAATTTTTTATAAGCTTGATTTAACTTTAAATATTGAATCAGATGTACAAAAAGTTCATTTTTATATAATAAAAGAAATAGGGACAATAAAAAGAACTATTCCGTTATAGACGACCACAAGGATTATAATTGAAACATGTTATAATTACATTTTTATATCAATATAGAGATAAAAATCACATTTTTACAATAAAATATTCTTTCATTTTTAACACTCATTAAATAATAAACTATGGTAATGGGAAGTTTATTATTTCCAATAAATTATTTATTATTTATATTTAAAAATATCTTGTATAGTTAAATTACCTGATAAAATATATTTCGTTTTATTAAAAAATTTATGACAATTTCTCCTTTTGGACATAGACAATCTAACAATGCTTTAGCTTTCCACTCTTTTTTACCCTATGTTGTATGATATGAATGATTTATGAATATTATTTAGAATAAACGGTAAGTGTATAAAATCAAATGTTTAAAAGGAAAATTTTAAATGATTTTCTTCATTTTATCTAATAGAAGACAATAAATAGTTTAAACCCGGCATATATTAAACAGATGGTAAAATAGGCATGTCATTTTATTATATATTTTTTAATTATAATAAATTTTATAGTATAAATGAGTGTATACTTAAAAATATAGAATTAAAAAAAATGAATTTAAAATTATTTTATGGTTAAAATAAAAATAATAAATATTATTTAAAATGATGATAATAGAGAATCAGAATTTTATATATGTTAAACACTAAGTAATAATATTTTCACTGTTTAAATCACAAAATATCCTATCATATAGAATATTGGTAAAAAGAAAATCCATTAGATTAAAAGTATGGGTTGTCTTTTGATATTATTCTTCAGTCATAAACGATTAAATATTTCTTCTTGCTGAAAAATGGAATGTTTAATAAAGACTTAATAAAGCTTACATAATTTGCATTGAAAGCTCTATTAATATTTTAAACAATATTTTTATTTTCTCAAAATATATATTGATATAAAGGTTTTGGTAAGTAAAAAAAGAATATAAAGCAAGCAAATAAATAACAAATAAATACAAATATAAATTTAAAACAGAACTAAAATGGTTGCTAATTTTCAAATCTTGTTACCAAGTGAATATGTGCTGAATATGTGAAGAGCACAACAGTTTTGCAAAAGTAAATATAACCGTTGTAGATTATATATTTATGCAATTTGAAATAAATAATTTGTATATACAACAAATTATATGTGTTTATTTGTAACCCATCAAATTTCTAATAAATAGTTATACATGTACTAATTTATAAAATAAGTTTTGTTGAACTTTTGTTCCATTTATATATAAATAGTAATGTACCATTAGAACTTGCATTAATTTTTATTAAAAAATTTGAATTAAAAATAATAAATTTTTATAGTTTCAATTTTCATACAAATAAATAATAGGTCATATCTTTTAGTTAATGAGTTATATCAATTATATATTATATTAACTACAATCTTTTGATCAATAAATCACAGGATTTTTTACTAGAACAAAGCGAATATAGTTTGGTATGAAATTATAATTTATTACATTTAAAGCGATTAATAGTAACAAGTAATAAATTTATTGAATACAATTTAATAATAGCTGTTAATCTGATTACATATAACTATTTAAAGAATTTCAGTCAATAAATTACTGATAAGTTTCAATCTTACATAATCTTATTTTCATGGTTGTTTTCTTTACATGCCATTTTTCATCCATTGAGATACGTGCGCACTCGGCCTTTAAGACAATGCTTGCATTGTTCTTGGCTATGCCACATCTGGTCGATCGTATTGGAAAATTGACCACGCCCAAGCGGACCCTTCTTCTAGCCAAGTCCCAGAGAGGGATGAGGCAACCAAAGAGAGGTGACCAATGGAAAAGGCTCGCCACCTTCCGACACTTTCCCAATTAGCAAATTCGGAACTGAGCCCGGAAGGAAGTGGAAATGAAGGCGTGCATAATCTATTGTGCGACCCAAGATCAACCACTGATTGGTTAATTAATAAAGGAAGAAGGGATCCCAAGTGGAGCGGGATCAGTGAATCATTTTAAGAAGGGACTACGTAATGTACCCTCACTTACTCTTTCCAAATACTTCTTACAGTGAAGGATAAGTCACGACCAACTCTCACGGAGGAGGACCGGAGAGATGAGTCGTTTAGCTAGCTGAGTTTTAATAATAAGTTCTTTCCACTATTGTGAATTAGTGTACAGTTGAATTGATCTCATCAAGACTGGATTGCGTGGGACCTGACCACTTGTGGTCTCACTTGGAGACAAGGAAGAACTGAAGGGTTGCAACATTGCAAGGGAACGTAATAACAAGCCATCGAAGAGAGACTGGAAAATCACGATACACTGCAAGTAAGTCCTTACAGCTAGTACTCATTCTTGATTTCTCGGCTTATGTAGAAGACGGACGGATAAAGTCCAACTACGGAAGCTTCCCGGACATACTCTTGAACAAGACCAGCTATAAATGCCACATTGGCTTCTCAATCCCTCCAACTACAAGTTGTTCCCGCCACAGATGGCGCACAGCTTCGCATAACCTCCATCTCGGCTCTCTTACGACCGATATTTAAAGGCAACTACACACGTGTTAAGATAAACACAATGGCATTCCAGTGTTCGATCAGAGCACTACAATCACGATAACCTCTTAGTGATAATATTCAATAGATTATAACCTGCTTCATTCATAGTAAATATATTTCAACACCACAAGATTATCAAGAAATATAAAGTTCGTCTGTAATTCACCCTTTTGTAAATCAATTCAAATAAATAGAAATAATAAAGACATGTGTTAATTATTAATCAGTGCATTCACCCTTTACTTGCCCGGCAACCCCACATAACATCTAGTGGGTTTTATTGTTCTACGTTAATTATTGCACGTTTGGCTGACTAGTCAAATTGTGGGATTATTTTCCGAACAGAGATAATAATGATCTATGATAATAATGAATTCAACTATTTTTGCTTTCCTAAAAATTAACTACAATATTTTTCACTTCGATATAAAATCCATTATAAAAATAATTTTGAATAGAATATAATTTCTTCTTGCGTATAATAACAAAAGTAATAAAAAATCGAAAACTTAATCCTTTTTGATATTTGACAATGAAAGACGAAATTAATTTTAAAATGTTTCAATAAGATTTTAATAAATATGCTTTAGGCATTATAAACGTGTAAAATATTTTTATATGGATGAAGTTGGAGATTTGACTAAAATATAAATATTTTTCTGTGATTATTTCATAGGCTGTCAAAATATAAACGTATATGAATTTCTAATTAAATTTAAATTATGTAAAATAAGAATACAATTTTGTTCTTATCTAATAGATTATAATATATATATATATATATATATATACGTTAATTTAAAATTATAAAGAAATTTTAATTATAAACATAAAATTATGCGTATAATAAATCAATGGTTATAAAATATTTTAATTAATATATGTATTAATTTTGAAGAAAATAAAAAATTTTAAAGCATATTTAAAGTTAATAATAAGCTTAAATAACTTATACATTACAACATGCTAATATATATTCATTCAATAAATGAGTGATTTTCTATTAAAACGATGCTTTATCAAATTTCATTTTATGTTGTTATTTCTTTCATTCTTGTGTAAGGAATATGTTTCCAACCGTAAAATAATTCATTAATACAGTACAAATCGATCTTTTGAATAATATATAATAATAGAGATGTTGATACTTATACTTACTAGAAGCAAATATATATTCCTATTGGTTTCCAATTGGTAAGAACTCGTTTCTGATATTTTATTTAACGAAAACTCTGGACTATGTCTGCAATGATATATTCTTGATTATTCTTATTTCATTAGTATGATGTTTGTTAGTATAGTTATATATATATATATATATATATATATATATAATATATAGTTATATCCTATTTATTAGTGTGCGCCATTTTTAGCTTATAATTACTTAAATCTAGTGTGTTAATCTTTGTGAAGCCACGTACATGCTGCTATGAAGATTAAAAAGGCCTGTCCATTATACCAGTACATCAGTCATATTACTTGACACTTAACAATCACAATTGGATTCGAAGTAAGTATAATTACTTTTAATATCATTCATTTGCTTTCATTATTTTATGCGAGCATTCGAATGGTTGTCATACTACGGTATATTATTTATCGATTGTGGTATCATCATCTGCATTGCAATACAATACTCTAACCATGATTATGATACACACTATAAAATATAAACTATAACATAAACTATAATATTAATTATTATAATACAATATATATTAAGAAATATAAGAATAATATAAAATGAGTATGCTATTATTATTGATCAACTCGTCTTGTGCAGTTTGCAGTAGGAAGTAATGTTTTCCTTTAAAATATTGTAAACAATCTACAATATAAATTATTGTAAATCAGGCTTTTGATACATTTAAAGTGTGCCTGTATAATTTCTCTAAAATAATTCGTTTGATCTATTATTTGTCATTATTATTATATATCTTTAAATAAATGCCCGTGATATTCCTGTATTGCTTAACTTTATGATCTAATTTCATATTATAACTATGGAAGGCAAAATGTTAATTTATTAAAATAAAATAGAAATAAAAAATATTAACAATATTAATTTTATTAATAAATAATATGGTTAATTCATATTTGTATTATTATTGTGATATTGTTATACTATAGAAGAAATCGTACCATATATATAGTTTACGTCTGTAATTCTTTGTTCGCTATAGAAGAAATCGTACCATATATATAGTTTACGTCTGTAATTATTTATTCGTTATTAT